TGATATAGAAAGCACCAATACATTATCCATACCCTCATTTTTGGTGTATTTCATGCAGTAAAAAAGTTAGGAAAAAAATGCAGTAAAAAAGTTAGGAAAAAAATGCCCCGGGCACATGGAAAATAGCCTGAGGGATTTTGAAAACCGTAAGAATTACAGCAAAAACTTTAATCAATTCCTGGCCCAGATAACTCAGTTACATATTAAACCACCCCAAAAGATTGATACATGCTCCTATCTGAAAAATATTTCAATATTTTAATTTTTGGGAATTGTCATTTTCTATTTTTGGCCCAATACCGTTATTTTTGAAAAATAGGAGCAAAATGTTTGATGCTGGGACATGATATAGAAAGCACCAATACATTATCCATACCCTCATTTTTGGTGTATTTCATGCAGTAAAAAAGTTAGGAAAAAAATGCCCCGGGCACATGGAAAATAGCCTGAGGGATTTTGAAAACCGTAAGAATTACAGCAAAAACTTTAATCAATTCCTGGCCCAGATAACTCAGTTACATATTAAACCACCCCAAAAGATTGATACATGCTCCTATCTGAAAAATATTTCAATATTTTAATTTTTGGGAATTGTCATTTTCTCTTTTTGGCCCAATACCGTTATTTTGAAAAATAGGAGCAAAATGTTTGATGCTGGGACATGATATAGAAAGCACCAATACATTATCCATACCCTCATTTTTGGTGTATTTCATGCAGTAAAAAAGTTAGGAAAAAAATGCCCCGGGCACATGGAAAATAGCCTGAGGGATTTTGAAAACCGTAAGAATTACAGCAAAAACTTTAATCAATTCCTGGCCCAGATAACTCAGTTACATATTAAACCACCCCAAAAGATTGATACATGCTCCTATCTGAAAAATATTTCAATATTTTAATTTTTGGGAATTGTCATTTTCTATTTTTGGCCCAATACCGTTATTTTGAAAAATAGGAGCAAGATGTTTGATGCTGGGACATGATATAGAAAGCACCAATACATTATCCATACCCTCATTTTTGGTGTATTTCATGCAGTAAAAAAGTTAGGAAAAAAATGCCCCGGGCACATGGAAAATAGCCTGAGGGATTTTGAAAACCGTAAGAATTACAGCAAAAACTTTAATCAATTCCTGGCCCAGATAACTCAGTTACATATTAAACCACCCCAAAAGATTGATACATGCTCCTATCTGAAAAATATTTCAATATTTTAATTTTTGGGAATTGTCATTTTCTATTTTTGGCCCAATACCGTTATTTTGAAAAATAGGAGCAAAATGTTTGATGCTGGGACATGATATAGAAAGCACCAATACATTATCCATACCCTCATTTTTGGGCGACCATTAAAATACATAGCTTCTCTCTCAGGAGAGACCTTTATTCAAGGTGGATAGAGAATGGGTGCATCCTTTTAATCATATCTAATATGTTTAAAATCTAAAGTAAACAATATCTTAGGTATTTAATACTCATATCATTGTTCAAATATTCAACTATTTTTCGAAGTGCTAATTGGAGGTTTTTGATAGCAAATTGCTTAATTTAAAATACAAATCTTTTCAAACTTGCTTTCACTAGGCAAGATGACATGTATCATTTTTAGCCATCAGCTTTCCTTCACTAAAACGATTAATTCAATCATTAATTGAATTTATAGGAACTCATTTATCTCAATAAACTGTGTACAAATTATTATATGATACTGTAGAGGGATTTCTAAGATATTACAATAAATTGTACAGTCGTTTGGTGAACGAGTTCGACTGAGACAACTATTTTTCACAAGTGACCTAAATAGTGACATCATTTTCACATTGTGATGTCACAAACAAGGAGAGAAACTTTATTCATCATATGGTATTTATAGACCTTGTGTATGGCTATGTGTGTACCGAATTTCATACTAATCTGGATTGTGGTTTTGAAGATAAAGAGATAGTTTGCGAATTTTTTGATCACCCCTCGTATGATTGTTCATGCGTAATTGCATGCTATATTATGGCGTCGGGCTTGCCCGATCGTCATCTAGGGATCAGTCAGGAGTCAGGTTTACGCGACCACACGTGTCAGTGGATGCATCCGCAATACAAAAAAGCAAAAGCTGTAAACCAATTTCTTTTAAAACGTTCACAATGAATAAAAGCTTGAATATAAAATCAAATCAATTGTATTTTCAATTAATACTACTACAAAACAACGATATTATGTTTAATTTTTACGCAAGAAAAACGTTATGGTTGTTGCGGATGAGTTTCTACAGAGAGGGTGCATCGAGTGACATGAATCACATTTTGGGACCGATTAATGTAATACAAACAATCTTAAATAAGGTAAAATAATTAAAAAATAAACACGAATACAACAAGACTATAAAGATTGAATTTCTTAATCTTAGCTTTACTTTAACCAATTTTAGCCGAACAACTTACGATATTGACCAGTAATGCCAGTATTACTGTATTTATCCATTTCCTCCATTTGTTTACCGCGCCCTATCGTAAGTCGATCGTACTTGTAACATTAGAGTCATGGTTGTAGTTAAGATGCAATCACTATACAACAGAACAACACTGACAATGGCAATTAATTAAAATATATTATGAAACCCTTCGTATGTCTTCGATTGACTGAAAAAAAATTAGATTGATATAGAGGATGGACATTTCTGACGATGTCTGGTCAATTCGAACCCTGACTCATTCGGACCAGGACACAACGTTATCAGGCCCTATACTGTAAATGTGTTAAGACTATTTATTTAATTTTATTATTATGTTACCGGAGTCAGTCACTTCACCTATTTGCAGATCTTTTGAAATTGTTTTTCTTGTTCGACGCCATTGAAGCCTTTCAGGCTTTTGATTTTAATTTTCAATGTGTATTTTGTAAAATTTAATGCGTATTTCTGCAAATACGCACCTTATCTGGTGCTCTGCATTTACAAAAAAACAGTCCTTTAAAAAAGCTAAAAAAAAATTTGAAAATTATTTCTGACATTATCTTTATTTAGATAAACTAGACTTTGAGGTATGCGCTCACAGGATGACATTGTTATGAAATTAATGCATTCATGTTCCTAGAGGACATTTACAAAATAGGTACATTGACATATCCATTATGTTAGGTACTAATGAAATAATCAATGAATGTGAATATAATGCTGTTTTTCATTTGTGTTCGTTTTTGGAATTTTGTAATGCAAAGACTTGAGCATGTTGAGTACAAGTTTGCAATAGCTGAGGTGTTATGAAGTAGTTTTAGGTCACCTAAGTAAACTCAGGTGACCTTTTGCTATCTGTTTTCGTGCGTAGTTCGTCGTGCGTCGTGTGTTAACATATGAACATTTTCAGCTTCTTCTCTACAACCACTCAACCAATTTCCACCAAATTTTACACAACACATCTATTGGTGAAGGGGAACAAAATTGTGAATTCCATTGTCCCTGCCTAGGGCCTGAGGGGTGGGACCAAAACCACTTTAAAAATCTTCTTCTTTACTCCTGGACATCAAGCAGTCAAACTGTTAGCAGGAATGGAATGATAATTGAGTCCTCTACCAAAATTATGAAATTCATGGCCCCAGGGTCAGGGGTTCTAGTGCTAAGGTGGGGCTCTATTGATTATATAGTGAAAATGCATTATTTCTTTAAAAATCTTCTTCTCTACTCCTGGGTATTAAATAAACTAACTAAGGACATAGTTATGATGAGGAAGAATACCTTTTGCAAAATTGTGAATTTTATGGCCCCAGGGTCAGGGGTTTTAGTGCTAGGGCGGGGCTCTATTGATTATATAGTGAAAATGCATGATTTCTTTAAAAATCTTCTCTGCTCCTGGGTATTAAATAAACTGAGAACATAATTATGATTTCAGAGGAAAAATACGTTTTGCAAAATTGTGAATTTTATGGCCCCAGGGTCAGGGGTTCTGGTGTAAGGGCTGGTCTCTATTGACTATATATCCATATCAGTGAAATATTCTGGAGAGGGACGTTAAAAGGTATTGATTATATAGTGAAAATGCAGAATTTGTTTGAAAATCTTCTTCTCTGCTGCTGGGTATTCAACAAACTAACTGAGTATATAGTTATGATGAGCAAGAATGTTTCTTCCAAAATTGTGAATCTTATGGCCCCAGGGTCAGGGGTTCTGGTCTTAGACTGGGGCTGTATTGGTTGAATAGAGAAATTGCAGAAATTGTTTGAAAATCTTCTTCTCTGCTGCTGGGTATTAAATAAACTAATGTAGGATATAGTTATGATGAGCAAGAATTTTTCTTTCCTAAATTGTGAATTTTTATGGCCCCAGGGTCAGGGGTTCTGGTCTTAGGCTGGGGCTCTATTGATTATATAATAAAAATACATTATTTCTTTAAAAATCTTTTTCTCTGTTCCTGGGTATCAACTAAACTTAATAAGTACATAGTCATGATGAGGAAGAATGCTACTGTGAATTTTATGACCCCAGGTTCAGGGGTAATATAATAATAATAATAATAAAGCCTTTATTTATCAAGGATGACATACTTTAGCAAAAATGCTAGTTTTAAAATATGGTACTGCATTAAAACTTACATACAGACAGTTATTAGTAAAACATGCTTTAAGGTCAAGATCTAGTAAATAACTTGAGACTAATTTTTTGGTGCTAGATCCATTATGACATCATAATCAATTTTAACTTTCTTTTTCCCGTACTTTATGGCTTTAGCAGAATGATGTAGAAAATTGGGTATTTTCATGTCATTCAATTTGAAATCATCTAAAAAGTAAACCGGATGCCTATATTAAATTTGATATTGATTTAAAGAAGAGGCCATGAACATACTAATTACCGTTTTCTGAGAGACTGTAGGCAATATGGATACATTTCCTTTGCCGAATACGAAAAATACTCCCATTTTCATGACTCTAACTTTTTATCCTCACAATAAATGTAATCAGAGCAGTGCCCTATGGAGCATTAAAACTGATTTCTTTGTCATTTTTGCAGAGGAAAAGGAAATATTTCGAGCCCCATTCAAATATTCAGAACGATAATGAACAATTACAGAACCATTGTTCAGATGAAGATCAAACTGGAAATTCAGAAAGACACATCAATACATATGTAAGTAAAATGCCTCGGATATGTATCAATAGTTCAGATCAATTACTGAGACAAATAAGGTCTCAAACCAGTGAGGAAAGTTTTAAGTGTGAATTTTGTGGGACAGCATTCTCTGTATCAGATGACTTTGCTGTCTGCATGAGGACACAAACTGGTAATGTATCTTATTGTTGTGATGCATGTGAAAAAACTTGGAACCAATCAGGTGCCTTACAGAGAAATACGAGGATAAACACAGATAAAACACGTTATAAATGCGATGTATTTGAGAAGTCATTCTGTGAGTCACAAAACTTGCAGACACACATGAATACACACACAGCTGAAAAGCCTTATAAATGTGAAGTGTGTGAGAAGACATTCAGTTGGCCAGGGAATCTAAAGAGTCACATGAGGACACATACTGGTGAAAAACCATACAAATGTGATGTGTGTGGGAGAGCTTTCAGCCAATCACAGAACTTAGAGAGTCACATGAGGACACATACTGGTAAAAAACCTTTCAAATGCGATGTTTGTGAGAAGGCTTTCAACCATTCACATATCTTACAGACGCACATAAGGACACATACTGGTGAAAAACCATACAAATGTGATGTGTGTGGGAAGGCTTTCAAACAGTCACAAACCTTACAATGTCACATGAGAATACATACTGGTGAAAAACCATACAAATGTGATGTGTGTGGGAAGGCTTTCAACCAGTCACAGAACTTACGGAGTCACATGAGGACACATACTGGTGAAAAACATTACAAATGTGATATGTGTGAAAGGACTTTTTCTGTATCATGCAACTTGCAGAAACACATGAGGACACATACTTGTGAAAAATCTTTTAAATGTCATGTATGTGGGCAGGCATTCAAGAGATCAAATAGCTTACAATTACACATGAGTTCACATACAGGTGAAAAACCTTATAAATGTGATTTGTGTGGAAAGGCATTCAATCAGTCAAATCACTTACAGAGTCACAAGAAGATACATACAGGTGATAAACCGTTTAAATGTGATGTGTGTGGGAAGGCATTCAGAGAGTCACATGACTTACAGAGACATGTGAGGATACATACAGGTGACAAACCATATATATGTGATATTTGTGGCAAGGCATTTAACCATTCAGGTCACTTACATAGACACTTGAGGACACATACAGGTGATAAACCTTATAAATGTAATATGTGTATTAAGGCATTCAGTCAGTCAAGTCACTTACAAAGTCACCGGAGGACACATACGGGAGATAAACCGTTTAATTGTGATGTGTGTGGGAGGGCATTCAAACGGTCAGATGACTTACAGAAACATGTGAGGTTACATACAGGTGACACACCATATAAATGTGATGTTTGTGGCAAGGCATTTAACCATTCAGGTCACTTACAGAGTCACATAAGGACACATACAGGTGAAACACCTTATACATGTGATGTGTGTGGAAAGGCTTTTAACCGTTCAAGTTCCAAACAGAGACACATTAGGATACACACAGGTGAAAAAAAACTTATGAATGTGGTGTTTGTGGACAAACATTCAGCAGATTAGATACCTTAAAAAACACATGAGGATTCATATAAGTAATAGCATATAAACGAAGTTGGCATTGTCAGACAAAATACCATGTAAATGAACATCAGTGATATACCTATTTATGTGAGCTGTTTTCAAATCAGATTTATCAAAGAAGAATATGAAATGACAAATAACACAATCAAACCTGTCCAAAATATCCTAAATAAAAATCTAATTTTTTTTTTTATATTATCCTTAATAACATTAACTAGACTTTGACCTGTGTTGCCTAACAGCATAGAAAAGAATGGGTTAAAATCCCAGTTAGCTACAAAGTTATGATGCAAAATTAGGATACAGAAAATCCTGTTTTTAGCTCACCTGAGCCGAAGGCTCAACAGCTTAAAATCTGATAACATTTTGTCTGGTGTTCTTCTGTCTGTCTGTCTGTAATTCTTTCACATTTTTGACTTCTTCTCAAAAAACGCTGGGCCAATTTCAACCAATCTTGCCACAAAGCATTCTTGGGTGAAGGGATTCAAGTTTGTTCAAATGAAGAGCAATACCCTCATTTAAGGGGAAATAATTGGGCATTAATGAAAATTTAGTTGTTTGTTTTAAAAATCTTCTGAAGAACCACTGTGCCAGAAAAGATGAAACCATCCTCAGGTAGTGTAGATTTAAGTTTGTTCAAATCATGACACCTGGGGTAGGGCGGGGCCACAATGGCCGACCAAAGTTTTACATAGAAATATATAGCAAAATTCTTTAAAATCATCTTTAAGAATAACAAAACCATAACTGATTGATATACCAATTTCTACTTTTTCATACCCACAGTGCTCAGGTTAGCGATGTGGCCCATGTGGCTTTTGTATTTTTAATTTTTTTTTTACTTTTCATACCATATAAGCAGAATTTTTAGCGAGGATTTAATTTTGGCTTTATTAGCGAAGGTGCCGATATCGCAAAATATTAATTGTGTTTAAGTTGTAATAGTTTTTTAAGTTGGCATTTCAAAATCCCTAGTATTACATCTCGCTAAAAATACCCAAATTTAAGGACAAATCGCTAAAGAACTATATGCGGTATATTACGTATATTTGCCCCCACAAAAGGCAAATTTTGAAAACTTCCTGAAATGTGCTGAAGAAACATGCACAATAACTCTCGATTCCCGCCTACATTTTGGAACCATTTAATTCAATATAAATAGCAATTTGTCCATAAAATCTTTGTTTAATACAAAGAACAGTTCAATGGTAATTGATAAATCATCTTAATACCAGTGCTAACTAGTAAATTATCCATAATTCCAGCTCTTGAAAAAAAGGGGGGTAGAAGATATTTTCCATTGAAATCGAAGTTTCAAGCATCACTGTATTTTGAAATAGTATTGGATATGATTAAATGTTCCTTATATCTTTTCTTATGTTTTGGGCTAATAAATAAAACATACATATTTCAATTGAATATAATGTTTCAGTTGTAAATCGTTTTGAAATTGTTGAAAAATAAGCAATTTTATCGTTTTTTGTCAGTAAACATACGTTCCACCCCGTGTCACACAAAAAGCTTTGGTATGAATTTGTGAAATAACATTCCGTATTACCTGTGAAAAGGAATTTTGTGACACAGGGGGGAAAGATGTTTTAAAAATATTTTCCATTTTCCGTTGATCTCTACAGTGAAAAACACAAGTTTTACCAAAATTTTAGAGTTATATTTCTTTGTTTTCCAAAATAAGTAATGTTTTATGAAAATCCATATAAGTAGCTATAAAAAATATTAAAAAATTCATCGAATATGTTTGAAAATTGACTTGGAGGTAGGCGGGAGAACAATACTATCCTTCGCAGTTCTTCAATAAATTGTATGAGAAATATAAATTAACAGAAAATATTATATTGTCAAAGCAGTGTATTCACAATTTTTGTTTTTATGTCACAAACTAGTCCGATTTTATACCTTTTTTCAGAAAGAGAACAAAATGGACAAAATTTCAACAATTTTAGCTTGAAAATTTATACAGCGCAAGTTTGTTCAGGAACAATATTGACATATTCATTGATATTATCATTCTACACATTATATCATTATCAAAATATTGATCCTGAACACACATGCGCTTGGTGACTTTTACTCAAAATATGGACAAAATATGTACATTTTTCTGTTAAATTCATAAAAAACTGAAATTTACGTTATGTTTGTGACGTCATTACGTACAAATGGTGTCATTACTTATGAAAATATTCAGTGCTTTGAAGTCAGCAAATACTCTCTTGATTAGAACTTAATATGATATATCTTCATCAAAGTTTGATTTGGGGGGCAAATATTGGTTATTACCGAATAAAGTCCTTTGCGTCTCACTAAAATTTCCACTTATTCATTAAGGACATTGGCAAGTAACGGTTTTCCGGAGAAAAAGGATTTATATCATGGGTTTTTTCTATTATAAAACTCATCGGATCACCTCGCCCTTTTCCGTCACACACTAGAAAAATTCTAGATACAAAAGGAAAACCAACAAAGCGTATTTTATAAAGGTAAACAAAAACGCACGTGCTGCCTACAACACCAGAATCATCTCTACAGCAAGAACGAAAAGCGGTGATTGATTTGTTGTATATTATATTCAGGGACAGGCAGTAAGCAGTGTTCATATCAGGCTATAATTTGATTTACCGTGGTTATACTGGATTAGGATGTGTCAGTTGCTAGTAGCTCCTATAACAGTTTACTGTATAAGATAGTGCTAAGGAAGCAACCTTTGGTAACTGCAAACATATTTTAAAAACAAATCCATACCAATGTTTTATGATAATTTGTTTCCAATAAGGTAAATTACATAATTAACGGAAATAGTTGAGCAGTTAAAGAATTCATACAAATTAGATGTTAAGGGAAGTAACTCTAAAATAAAGAACAGTGTTGGCAGATCTGTGTCTTGTTTCTAAATTTACATTTTCAGTCATGGTATCTAAATATCATTCAAAATGAGGATACAATAATGTATATATTACATAAACATTCTAAAATAAATGGGTTTTGGAAAAAAATTATGGTAAAAAATTATGAAGGTACATTTTATGAACATTTTACATAGGAAATGCATTGAGAACTGTAAAAACATTGATTTGACAAAATCTTAAAAGGGAGGGTGGCTTGTTGGGTTACATATATCAGAATATAAAACGTTTCATACCATTACACCTGCTCAAGAATTCTTCAAAAATTCTATACTAAAGCCAGGAACCCTGCCAATGTCCTCAAGAACTGGGTACATTATGTATTACAAGGCGGCCCTATAAAATCGGCAAACATTAAACGCACGATAACCTTTATTAAACTGTGTCAATTTATTGTTAAGGTTCCCCTTTGTGAAAAATTGGTATCAATTTTCTTCAACTCACGTGACCTTTTGTGTAACACTCAACACTGGTCATATATTTTGGAAATCACCTATTTTGGACGTTTTGCTACTCTTCAACTTTACATTTCGATGTGGCGGCATCCGAGTACATATGCGAAACTTTGCAGAAAGAACAAGTGTACCTTGGCAACTAATATGCAAGAGAAAAAATAACTGTACAAAAGTGCGGCCACGTCCGTTTTTAAGAAAAACTGTAGTTGAAAATACTTAGTTTTTGGATAGATGTTACTTTTCCTCCTCATTAAAATCTATACTTTTAAAGAAATCAAATGTTGAAGTCTGAATCTGATTGTGTTATTATATAATCTGTACTTTTACGGAAACTTATTGTTTAAATCTGTATCTGAATGTTATGAAAACCACATAATCTTTTCTTCGTAAAATTTATCAAGGGACATTGCATGGAAATCAATGACGCAATAGATTAAAAAACATGACGTCACCATGTGACATATGTTGAATAACAAAATTCTTCAGTCTTCCATAATAAAATAACAATATGATAAATTTTCAATCACTACATGCAATGAAAAACAGTCAATTGATTTATACACGTACCTCTTATCAAAACGAGTGCCTCCTTCGTATTTGATGTGATGTTGACTTTATGTTCAAGAAAAGATTTTTTCATGTTTTAATGAAAATAATCATGCAGCTTTTCTAAAGTATGATTTAAATTATATTTATCATGCTGTATGTTAACATCAGTGCTTTCAAGACAGGTTTAAATTAAACATGCAATTCAAAAGCGGATCCAGGGCCGTTGCGTCGAGCCCCCCCCCCCCCCAATCCACGGTTTGATTGTTAAAATTTGCTTGTATTTTGTTAAACAAGCATGTAATTATATTTTTATTACTAGCATTAAACACAAACTTAGCAGTAGATCTACACGTATGGTATGAGGCATTCCGAAAAATATTGATTTACCGCCATGGCAATGTAT